ATATTATAGACAGTTTGTGGAAGGATTCTCCCGTATTGCTTTGCCATTTATAAACCTCACTAGGAAAGAGGTAAAGTTTGAGTGGAATGATGATTGTGAGTGTAGCTTCCAAGAGTTTAAACAAAGGTTGATATCAGCTCCAATCCTTGCCTTATCTACTGATGGTGGTGGTTTTGTGATTTATAGTGATGTTTCATGATAGGGTTTAGGATGTGTGCTCATACAGCATAGGAAGGTGATTGCTTATGCGCCATGAAAGTTGAAAGTACATGAGAGAAATTATGACTCATGGCGTAGCGGGGACTCAATTGCATGGACCTCTAGGGCATTCCTTTTGTTTAGAGTGTTATGTCAAGTTTGTGCATATTTATATTTATTCTTATCGAAGTTCATTTAGGATTATTTTTTATATGTGGGTTGTTTATATCCCATAAGTTTGGTTGGTTTTTGATTATGGTTGATTTTGCCGTTTATAATTGTGGCATGTCTGGATTGAGTTTTGGTTATTTATTATTGGACTATTGTTCAGTTGTTCAATGTGATTGGATTCGTGTTTAGGCTTACGTGTGCCTTGGGCTAAGTCCCTGTGGGCCACGGCCGGTCATGCCCGGATTTGGGGTGTGACACGAAAAGCCTAGGCGTGTAGATCTTTATTTTTCAAGCTGGGTTATCAAGCCTGGTAAGCATTGCCAAATAATCAAGTAATGCTTACAAATACTTTCAATGGTAGTTTCTATCTATAATTAAGCAAGTAGCAATTAAATCTAAAGAAAAGGTCCAACAAAAAACTGCATCAAAGCCCATTTATTTATTTATTTTTTTATTGGCACTGGGTGTCCGGAATCAAAGTCCAATTAATTTTAAGAATAGTAGCATGGCTGTTTAATCTCCTTCTCCAAGCTTGTTCTGGTGGGGCAGCACTATCAAAATCAAGCTTCAAGTGAAGTTTAAGGAAAGACAATCAGTACAATTGAAGTAAAAACGAAACTAAAGCTATTAAAAGTACACATGATAATATATATGCATCAATTATGAAGTGCACAATGCTCCAATGGAGATATGAAATTAACAAAGTCCAATAATTGATTTCTTCGTATATATTTTGTGGAAAAAATTGAGTTTTTCGCAGACTTTGATATTTATGTGTTCATGAGATTTTAATGAAGATTTGAAAACAATTTTGACATATATACAATTGTTAGGGAACTTGTAAAAATTGTTTCATAATGAATTTTGAAAGGATATTTTATAAAACGCTGTGGTATATGTCAATGGCCAACATGTTTTCCAAAGGAAAAGATAGAAATCAAACAATTTTAATCGGTGTTTGATTTCTTTGTAGGTGGCGATGAAGTGTAGAGATCGGTTACATGAACTTGTAAAGGTAGAGATAGAGAAGAAGGATTTGAGTACGGAGGAGTGGAAGATCGTGATGGAGAGAAGCTTCGAACGCATGGACAATGAGGTGATTGCATGGAACAACATTCATTTTTTGTTCTGTCTAGATTTATTTCTTTTCTTCCTCTTCTTCTTTGTTCTGTCCAGATTTATCTTCCTCTTCAATTCGTTTTTTTTTCCAGATTTTTTTTCTTTTGTTTCTTCACAGCAAACGAAGATCAAAGACACATCATTTTTCATTTTTTTTCCAGATTTCTGTTTTGTCCAGATTTTTTTCTGTTCTGTCCATTCTGTTTCCTCTTTTTTCATTTTCCCCCCCCCAGATTTTTGTACTCCTCCTTGGCAGCAAACGAAGAACAAATTGATCTTGTCCAGATTTTTTTTTTCTTTCCAGATTTCTGTTATGTCCAGATTTTTTCTTCCTTTTTCTTGAACTCCATTTTTTTTTTGCTGATATATATTTTATTTTTTATATTTTTTTCCCCACAACCACTGGAATTTCATGCAACTTGCGTCTAGAGCCTTATCTGTAATCATCTTTAAAAAAAAAAAAAGGTAATGTAAAATGACCCCTCTATTATTTAACTTTGCCCTCTTTTTACTGTTGCAGACTGTAGTAGAAACATAAAACTGATATATTTTAAAAAGAAACATAAAATAAGAAAATTGATATATTTTTATATTTCTTGTGTTTAGTGAACATTTGTTTGATTTTTTCATAAATATTTTCATTGTGTGACTATGATTGCATTGTTAGCTAAGGCTGCGGCCATGGCACTTGCTCAGCACTGTAGACGTCCCCGCGAACGCCCCGGGGAGGATGAATCCCCATTTTGTTCGTTTGGGCTTACTACAGTTCAGACTCTCAAATTGTCATGGTTCTAAATCTGAAGCAAAGAGTCCAAATTCGGCAAATCGTTTTTTAAAACAGATTTATTTGTAAAGAAGTGCCAAACATAGACTGCTTTACCAGATATAGAGTCGCCATCTAAATATTTTATTGGGAGAATTTAGGAAACCCTGACTCGTTTGCCTAAGGCCACATGTCCGTCATCACCAAAGTTGCCTCGACTTGGGAACTTGAGTACGATTGGGAAAGGTCAGCTATGAGCACCCCCTCTCGCCCGATCAAAGATCAACCTTTGCTAACCATGATATCTAGTTTTGAAAACATTATGCGTTCTTATTCCAATTAATTAGCTAATTTTACTATGTGATGCGCACAACACCAAAGTATAGACTAGATCGCCTAATTTGGAACAAAGCATCGCATATCCGTTTGTTTGGAAATCGGTTTGAAATTTGCTACTCGCAAGTAGGCTAAAACATGGATTTCGACGAGTTGTTCCAACTCAAACAATCTAACCTTCACCCACAGGCATTCAGGCAGATATATCACATAAGCATATAGCCACATGGTAAGCATGCTGTCATGTTAACACTTACACTCATGCAAGGATGCTAAAGCGTAAATGCTTACCTATTACTCCAAGCCAAAACAGAAACTAGTTAATAATCAAATGCATGATCCTAGTTCATGTTAAGATGGCTAATGCAACACATACAAGATGCAACTACAATAGGCTCGGCTATTCTAAGATGGCATATGATGATGCTACAGCTAACACGTATTCAACTTAGAATTGAAATACAAATGCAGTTAGTATGATGTGCTGAGCACAGTGCATGCAATACAGATGAATGATGCAAACATACGAAGCATAAGTATGCTAAATAAAACATGCCCTAATCTAACCATTATAAACTAGTAAATAAAAGGGAGAAAGACGTGGGGTTGGAAGACATACACATGCTCACGCACACTTATTACAGAATTGCCCTTGCCCGGAGGGACCAAAAGAATAATACAAATTAAACAAATAGTTAACTACTCTAGCTAATTAAATATTACAAAGCTTCTAATTAATTAACAAATTAAATACAGAAGGAAAGTGGCCACAGCCCTGCCTCGGAATGATGGGATGATGCATGCTCGGTTCGCCTCGCCTAGAAACCCGGTACCATGCCATTGTTGCCTCTGTTTACACTGCCTTGCTCCTCTGAAATTTATGAAAGTTTCCAGAATCCTTCTAAATCACTCCCTGAGTGTTGTGGAATATCACCAACCACAATTCAAATCCATCGGCCATGGGAATAGGCTTATCGACCAAATATTGAACCACCGGCTGGACACTGATGGTCGGTCGGCACAAAAAGTGGTCGGCCGGCCATTTCTTCCTGCAGAGCCCTGTTTTGACAGTAGCAGAGGACAGAAAGTGCATGGTATGGAATTTGCAAAGCAATGTGTGCATGGCCACTCTCCCTATCATGCTATGGGCTCAAGGGAGTTTGGTACTCGACCCTCGGACCACCACTCGCGCATTTCAATGCGTGATGGTCCAAGAAGTCAAGTATGCATTTCAATGTGAATGAATGCAACAAAACACATGAGTGCTACACGCCCTATCATATTGAGATCAAGGACATCGGCGACTGTAGACGTCCCTGGACGCCCCAGGAGGGAATTCCCGTGTTGTTCATATTGAGCTCACTACAGTTCAGGACTCAATGTCACGGTCTTGTATCTAATCTCGCAGAGTGCAATGCAATACCGATGAAATCATCAAAGAGTCCAAAATCCAGCAAATCGTTTTTAAAAACAGATTTTTTTTGAAAAGAAGTGCCAAATCATGGACTGCTTTGCCAGATACAGAGTCGCCACCTAAATATTTTATTTTTGAAAAATTTAGGAAATCCTGACTCGTTGCCTAAGGCCACGTGTCCGTCATCACCAAAGTTGCCTCGGCTCGGGAACTTGGGTACGATTGGGGAAGGTCACTTCGTGAGCACCCCCGCTCGCCCGATCGAAGATCGGCCTCTACTAAGCATGATATCTAGTTTTGAAAACATTATACGTTCTTATTCCGGTTATTAGCCTAGATTTACTATGTGATGAGCACAGCATACAAGTATAGACTGGGTCGCCTGAATTGGAACGAAACATCGCATGTTTGTTTATTTGAAAATGGTTTGATGGTGCTACCCGCAAGTAGGCTAAGACGTGGATTTGCCACCCTCAGGTGGGCTTAGAAAACATGATGATTTGCCACTATCAAGTGGGCTTAAAACTCACAATTGATGAATTGTTCCAATCCAAATAACTCAACCTTCACCCACAGGCATTCAGGCAATTATATCATACAAGCACATAGTCTCATGGTAAGCATGCTGTCATGGTAGTCACTTACACGCATGCAAGGATGCTAAAGCATAAAACTTACTGAGTACTCCAAGCCAAAACAGAAACTAGTTAGAAATCAATGCATGATCCTAACTATACAGAAATGCCTAATGCAACACATGTAAAAATGCAACTACAGTAGGCTCGGCTATTCTAAGATGGCATATGATGATGCTACAGCTAGCACATATTCAATTTGGAATTTGAAATACAAATGCAGTTAGTATGATGCGGCGAGCCCGGTGCATGCAAGACAGATGAATGAAGGCAGACATGCTATCATAAGTATGCTAATTGAAACATGCCCTAATCTAACCATCATAAGTTGGTAAATAAAAGGGAGAAAGACGTGGGGTTAGAAGACATACATCACACTCATGCACACTTATTACAATATTGCCCTCGCTCGGAGGGTCCGAAAGAATAATACAGTCCGAATGAATAATACAGTCTGAATAAATAGTACAGTCCGAATAAAATAGAAAAATCCTAATTAATTAACAAATTAATCTAGGAAAGCGGGTAAATTGGCGCGCAAATCCATGGACCGCCTCAGCTCTGTTCCAAATAATGAATGATGCATGCTCGAGTTGTCTTGCGTAGAAATCCATTACGACGCCTCGATTCGCCTCTGTTTGCAATTAATGCTGGAATGCTGTGCAACGCTCCGGAAGGCCGCTGATTTCTGATTTACTGCAACAGAGAGTAACAAAGAGGCATGGAAAAGTATTTCACACATGTATGCATGACTACTCTTCAGGGAGTGTAGTCCTCGATCCTCGTGCCACCAATCACGCATATCGATGCATGATGGCCGAGGAGCTAAATTGCACGACTCAATGTGAGATGAATGCAGTTCGGACTCTCAAATTGTCACGGTTCTAAATCTGAACCAAAGAGTCCAAATCCGGCAAATCGTTTTGAGAAAACAGATTTTGAAAGAAGTGCCAAACATGGACTGCTTTGCCAGATACAGAGTCGCCACCTAAATATTTTTTATGGGGGAATTTAGGAAACCCTGACTCAATGCCAAAGGCCACGTGTCCGTCATCACCAAAGTTGCCTCGGCTCAGGAGCTTGGGTACGATTGGGGAAGGTCAGCTATGAGCACCCCCTCTCGCCCGATCTGAAGATCGGCCTCTACTAACCATGATATCCAGTTTTGAAGACGTTATGTGTTCTTATTGCATGTTCGTTTTGAAGATGGTTTGCTACTCGCAAGTAGGCTAAAATGCAGGTTTTGCCACCCTCAAGTGGGCTTTTAGAAAAGATGGTTTTGCCACTATCTAGTGGGCTTAAAGCTCATAGTTTTAACGCATTATTCCAATTTAGGTAATTCAACCTCCATCCACAGGCATTCAAGCAGTTATATCACATAAGTAGCTAGCCTTATGGTAATCATGCTGTTATGGCAACCCTCACATGCATGCGGTATGCTAAAGCATAAATACTTACAATGTACTCCGTGCCAAAACAATAAACTAGTTAGCAAACATGCGTGATCCTAGTTCATGTTAAAGTGGCTAATGCAACGCATACAGAATGCAATTAGGATAGGCTCAGCTAATCCTAAAATGGCATGTAAAGTGCGGCACGTAGCATGTATTCAAGTCATATTTGAAATACGATGCAGTTAGCATGATGTGTCAAGCCCGGTGCATGCAATACTGATGAATGATGCACGCATGCATAGCATAAGGTATGCTAAAGTAAACATGTCCTAATACTAACCATCAAAGTAGTCTTTTTACCCCTCTTTTTTTCCCCTTATAAATATACCACTCATCTCCACTAGTTGAACACACATACACACTCACACACCATGC